GCGTACTCATTAACGTTATCAATCACAACACACACACACACTCACACGCCTACACCAGCACAAGGTCCAGCTACTTCACAATGAACAAAGACTACTTGCTATATAGCATCACGCACACAAACATAAAGGTGCCTGTATCTCCAAACTTTACAATGAAACGTGCGGTTTTAAATAGAGCAATGTGCTCGGCCTGGCCAACAGCACCTTGTGTGAAAGTTTCACGTTCAATGTCGCAAACAGCCCAAAAAATATTTTTTGGTCGTCGTCGTTGAAGAGGTCGACCCCCAGATCCAGTTTGGCTGGTAGCGTCATTGCGAAATCTGGGATTGGCCACGATGGACTTCATAGTTTGACACAAGATCGCTTTCACCCCGCCGAGCAACATGGTTCTATTAAAGACCCCACGTTTCATTGTAAAGTTTAGAGACACAGGCACCTTTATGTTTTACATATGCTGTAAGCGTGATGCTATATGAAAAGAGTTCTTTGTTCATTGTAAAGCAGTATGACTACAATAGAGCCAAAGATGCAGAGAGACGTGTTGTGTAACTTGAGTCAGTCAGCACAGGCGATGCATGATACCTGTACACTATTTAGGAGTAGTTCCTAAAATGCCAGCTAATAACCCAGTCCTTCCAATCATCTTTGTTGCCCAATCTAATGCATACGAGCGACTGTCCTGCTCCAGCCCATCATTCCCATCATTGAACTTTCTTGACTCGAGGTGACATGGTAGGATGGAAACAATGGGTGTTGTAGGATCATCATTATCATGTAAAGTGTAAAATGTAAAATGACACACGCCCTTTTGTTATACGTGAGGATCATGTATTTTATTTACGCGTGCCTATTGTCTATCGTGAGGGTGCTTATGATGATGGGTGAGTTGTGTGTTTGGGTGGATGGTTTGTATAGCGTAATTGAGTGGCCTCAGTGTAATAACAATAGGGGATTTAAACTTGGGGGACAGCAGCTCCACGACTTGAGACAACGCTTCTCTTCTTTTTCTGCCTCCTCTGCTTTTATCCAATGCACGTCATCCCGATCAAGGTAATGTATTATAGAAGAGTGCTCTTGTTGGCTGTGAGGTATTAATGTAGTTCTGAACATGCATTGTCAGGGAGGGAGTGTGTCCAAATGCTGAGGAATGGAGCGTGGTGGGTGGTTGGCAGTTGCCATGGCGATATCGTTGCTTCCTCTTGTTCGTTACTATTCCCGCTCTACGTTTGGTGTCAACAGGTACATTCAGAGTCCAATGTTGCAGCCGAATTGGTTCCATTGACGCGTCAGCTTGTATAGAGAGCATGTTTGGTTTCAAGACGTTGGCTGGTTTGGCGTTTTGTTTCGGCTCAACTATACTACACCATGGTTTTCGGTTTCCAGTAACCAACAACAACGGGTCTTCGTGTATATGGAAAAGGCAAGTGCAATGAAACAAACAATGAAAAGGGTGTTTATTGTGTGTGTGCTAATAATGAATTGAATAGCTTTCTTTGGTCAGGCAATGCAACTTGGGGCATCATCATCATCTCTTTGGGTTCAAGTCCCAGCCTGGATCAAGTGGCCGCTGCGTCACTCTGCACTAGCCAAGTGTTCTGGAAAAGCTTCTTGGAACGCGTCCAGGGCTCTACAGGCCTGAGTTTGAGTTGATGGGTCGATGACGATGGGTTGTTGGAAGAGTATGGTCACCATGTTGAGGTAAAAGGGGATTTGCAATGGCTCGGCCGTGAATGTGTTGACATCAGTGCGAATCAACATGCTCTTCTCGTGACAGGCTCGTTCTTTCCCTTGAGGATTTCTTTTCATGGGGTGGGAAATGATTGGAAGGATTGGATTGGGGATCATCCTTTCTTTGGAGAGGATGAATGAGGACAACTATGAGCCTGGATTCTACGTAAGTGAGTCCTTCCTTGCCATGGATCGAACTGGCCTTGCGTGATTCGTGCAGTGCTTTCTCAAGAACAAGGGATCGCCCGACGTTGCTCGTATGGCGGTGATTTGGTTTGTGAATTCCTTCGGATTTGCTTTCTTCCTTGGAGAGGATCGCCTAGCGGTATACCAAATCGTCATCATTCTGGTACCAGATGGTCTAACTTGCCTGCTTTCTTATTTATAGAGACGACGATTACGATGATTACCACATTCACAACGATGGCGATTACGATGATAGTGACATTCATAACAATGACGATTACGATGACAACGGCACTCACAACAATGTCGCTTGCGATGATAACGACAACGAGATTCAAAAGGAAGTCTGCAAGATCCCATTCTCTTCAACATGTGTGTCTTTGATATTTGCGACGAGGGGATTGATGACTGTTGACGAGTACGAGTACCTGTACGAATGATGACGGACGACGACTACGAGGATGGTGGTGGCAATGTAGCAAGATAGCTAGATGAAATAAAGCATTGTTCATTTATTACACGCTTGGACTTTGCTAGCTTGTGGATTACATACTATTGGTTCGAAGATGGAATAATAAAGGTGGTCCGGTTATCGGTCATGCAAGAAGTATATGGCTTTTGTGATACAATACATAATGAGAAGTGGGATTTGCCTTGAGAAGAGAAAAAGTGAAGAGATCCCTCCATTGAGTTGATCACTGGCGGGTTTACATATACAAATTGGTTTATGCAGCTCGACTTTCTTCTACATGCAAATGTGATGCATACCTTGACACACCTTCATTATTGGATGCTGTTTACTTAGGTACCTTCATAAAAGGCAGTCATCATCATCATTCATTTGTGTAGCAACCTGTCAAGGACGTGTTTGTGCAACCACCACGTGCCATTTCACTCAGGTCTTCATCTTTTCGTTAATGCAGTCGACACCATCCATTAGGAGAAAGCAACTCCTTCACACTTACAGCATAGGTAAAACATAGCGAGTAACTTTGTATTGCTGCTCTCATGACGACTGGATGATTCGCGAGAAGCATACGAACTACGTGATCTTCTATTGTTGGGGAAGAATTTAGGTCGATGATAAATTCGATTCGTATTTGTTGAAATCTATATACGAGCAACCCATTTTAAAACTATAATAATGAAACTGCCATTGCATCCCATGATAGCGCTTAGTGTGGTACATGACGTTTAGTATCGTGATTACTTTGACAAACTACCACTTTCTTAGTCTACAGTGGATTACAACTTGTCAAGGCTTATGATCTTCGATAGCTTTAACGAACCACAACAAGTGGAATACATATGTCAAGAATGCTTAAATATGATCCATCGCTATGTGCTGTATCCGGTTATAGTTATCACTTGCTGCTTGATGATACTTAGGGATTTACAGCAAAGCATACCAAGATCAGAATATGGTTATCGCGCCATTAATGATGCCAACTTTTGAAAGCATCGGTTGTGCTATGGCACTTTCACTGGCATTGTGGGTGAGATATGCAGATTGTAATAACAAAAGTAAACATTGATTGACATGGGAAGTCTTTTGAGTAAAAGGATTTTGGGGTCTAGATGATGGTGGTTAGATGTAGAATTTGCATTCATATGTGCGACATGATACTGGATTTGGATATTTATGTTGTCACTATATCGATCGGTCTATACTCGCAACAAGCAAGCGACAATACCAAGTGTTATGGTTTATGTAAATGGTCGTGCCTCGATCAGCCTGATTTGAGATTTGTTACAACTGTCAACCTGGGATGGTTCGCCACTGGTGGTGGTATACATAAGCTTTGCAAAATTATAGGTCATGTAGATTCTGTAGAACCTTGAAGTAACCAAGTTTCTGTTACGCTTGTATGCTTTATGTAAAACTTTCTTTGATCTATATAAAAGGACGTACAACCATGCGACAACAATGACTGTAGCAGCTCCTTCGCTTTCCAATGGCATTTTCAATGACGATCTCCGCGTGTATTTGAACATGAACCCCTCTCTACATACTTGCCAATGTCTGCATTCGGTAAATTGGTGTCGATGAAGCATTGTCGGAACTTTTTGAAAATGGTAAGGTGGTAGATGCGCAAATCACAGATATAAAGGCAACAAGCTGGCAATACATGTTACATGTATCAATAATAATGAAGTTTCTTGGCATTACTATTTATGCTGCAGCATTCTTGGCCACCATTCATGCAGTTCCTGGTCATTACAAGCACCATGGCGATGAAGGCGAATGGAGACATTATCACAAGGGCAAGAAGCACCCTCAAAAAGAAGAAATCTATTATCAAATCGCTACCCCCACTCCTCCAGCAGCTCCCACCCTTAGGCTACCTAATCCTGTAGGCGAGGAAATTGGCTATGTGTGCCCTGTAGACGATGTAGTGCAATTTGGACAAGAGGTAGTAAACTATTGCGATGATACATGCATGATCGATGGCTAACTTGTAAATAGATAACGCACTTTACTGGTATCTTTTATAACGACTTTACTACAGTAAGCTGGAGTAAACATTAAGACAAGCATGATGATCTAATTTGATTTGTCGTTGTTGACCATAATAGGGCGGTACAGGGCAAGACATTCTCGGTCCTTTGGCTGTTGGCGGCAACTTCTATGCGCCCAACTACGTCGTCAATGCCAACCATGAAGTCAACTGCGCTGCCGATGAAAAGTCTACCTTTGATAGCGTTGGTCTCGTAGTTGGTGGCGACTCTACTACTTCGAATACCCATTTGCGTGGTGACAGCTTGATTGCCGGTGATGGTGATGCGAGCCAATACGACGAGCAGTTGGCAGGATGCCGTGTGATTACCGATGAAGGCACAGGTTACTTTGACTTTGCTGAATCATACAGTGATGCCGACACTCTTTCACGAACGATGGCGGCCATTGCACCTGATAGTGTCTTGAGCACGGGTGGTGCTATAAGCAAGGACCCAACGATCGACAATGGTCCTTTCAGAGTCTTCAAGATGAACACGTGTGATGGATCATGCCCTACAAGTGATGTTCTATCCACTCCAGATGAGATGCTTTTTGGTATCGGCAACTGGAATGGTCCTTCTGGTGATGTTCCTTCATCGGATGACACTGTCATTATCAATGTAAGTGGATTGGATGATCATAGGCATACCGAGGTATTGATGATGCTTTACGTCTTGACAACAGATTCCTGTTACATCTGATACCACAATCGATCTTCGTTCAAACGCACCCTCGCAAGGTTTTGACAGCTGTCGTATTATTTACAACTTTTACCCGGTCGACGAGCAGGGCAATTACGACTCCAGCGGCGAATTTACACTTGATCGTGAAACAGGCTCACAGTTTGAAGGGCTAGTGATTGCACCACATGCTCATATCCGTGATGGTAATACGGGCAACTTTGCTGGTACAGTGGTTGGCAATGATTATGCATGGCTCGATCCATCAGCTGGTGTTGAAATCCACGATTGGGCTGCAGCAAATTGTCCTAAATTCCAAGGTTGTCTTCCTATAAATCCTGACACGGATACTTGCACTCCATCGACCACCACACGCACTCAAACTGTGCCCACTACAACTACGGCAACAGATGAAGACACAACAACAGAATACGTTGGTTCAGTGACTGTAACCGATTACGAAACGACCACTGATACGGTGACAACTCGTGAAACTAAGGGCTATACCTTACCCCCAACGACCGAAACTGTGACCATCACCTACACTAAGGATAAGCACAAAGATGACCATCACAAAGATGACGTTGACTGGATCACGGAGGCTAAAGGTGGAGCTATAGCTGAAGTTGAAGAGGAGGTTCAGAGTGATGATGAGTGGACGAAAGGGGAGGAGTGGACGAAAGAGGAAGAATGGACGAAGGGTGGCGACGAAGAATGGACGAAAGGTGGCGACGAAACATGGACGAAAGGTGGCGACGAAGAATGGACGAAGGGTGGCGATGAAACATGGACAAAGGGTGGCGACGAAGAATGGAGGGATTACGACGAGGACTCGTGGTAGATGTTGTAGTTCTTTCATACATTAGTTTAAGATATTATTAAAGTTGTATGTTCATAATGACCTTCCTTTTCATTGTGTGGTCTCTAAAAGGAGCTATCATTGTATTTCTCAGTTGAGGATATAAGCCTAGGATGGAATAATGACAACGTATTATTGTTACTCCTTGTTCTCTTCGTTGTTGATACCTATTGCTTCATGTAACATGGACTTTGTTTAATAGGTTTATTCATTGAATGCAGTATGTATACTCGGACAAAGTGAGCAAAGATACAATGTGGACTTGCAATCAAGGTAACATTCTTGCGGGGCAAATGGGATATGATGATGGCAATAAAAGGTTTATTGATCAATGATGCGTATAATGAAATGGTGAATACATGGATACAGTAACCTCATAACGCTATATCGAGTGGACCAAACATCATGTCGTCTTGATAATGCATAATGCCAAATGCCATTTGCGGTGTAATACGTCCAAAAAATGCCATCCTCAGCATGACGATTCACCATTTCTCATGTCAACCTTTGGGAGCGACTTGATGAACTTGAGTGCTCTTGTCGTGAAAAAAGACGTCCTGGGGGGCAGGGAGATCAGGAATTGAACGCGCCCAACCATCCGCTGCTTACAGTATTACCTTCAAACGAACCTCTTGCTCACAGCCTTCGGCCTCGACTGCCACCATCATCATCATCATCTTAAACGAGTCGCTGTTGGGTTGTTGTAGTAGGATGTCATCAACCTCGAAGGGCTTTTATGTCCGTGTTAGTTGAACAGCTACCGTAAATGAGAAACAACTTGCTGAGTACGTTGCTACTTGACGTGCTATCGAGGCGCTGATGAGCTAATGACGGTGATGGTGCTGACCGATTGCCCAATGTCAAACTGCATTCTTCCTATTCTTCATGTCGCCCTCGCTTGCACATTGTCGTCGAAAGGGATAGAGAAGGTGTGTTCCCGCAAAGATATGCATAATTCTTGGTCACATTTCAGGCAGCGACAGTGGTCAGTTGCCATGGTTTGGTTGCTATCCAATAAAGTTATTGTTTAAATTCTTCAATCCTATTGTCGTTTATAGCCTTAAACGCTGTCCATGAGAGAATACCGAATGCCAAGTATTCGAAGCTTTAATCTTGTCGATGGCAAAAACGACCAGAATGCTTCCCATATGCATTTTCAACGCTATCCGCCGATCACTTTCTATCGAAAGAGGGACATTCCAAGTCGCATAATCAGTCAGTATGCAAAAGTACAAGGATGTGGACAACCATATTCTAACAAATGGCTGAAGCTGATGCGAGAGGAATACATCAGGCTACTTTCATGGTGTGATGATGTCTTTGCTGAACGTGTACATGCGAGTTTGATGCGTCTATAATACTCTTTCGTGCCTGCCAAACTATAAAGAGATCTGAGACATGTGCCTATATTCAGCCAATCCATGTAACGATCTACGTACATTTATATATATACACCAGCTGAAGTGAGCTTTATAGCATAATAAATTGTTATTGACCATTGATACGAATGTCGTCGAGAATGAAGGTCGGCGGTGTATATATAACAAGAATCCCTTATTTGTGTTTCTGATATGATAGCGTACTTCTTCAAATGCCAAGTTAGTCTACACGTGCAAATCTTCGCTTCAATCTCATAAGACAGCCTGGCCAAGAGGTCATTCACTACTCAGTGATATGATTAATAATAAACGGTGGTTGTAACATGTGAACGTGGTGTAGTTTTACATGTGGGTTTTTTTACTTGAATCATGTACATGTCTTCGTCACGAATTAAGCTATCATTCATATCAATTTTTCATTCCTATTCGGAATATTTCATGGCATCAGGGTTCATTCAACATGGCCACGCTGATTGACCAGCCGACTTTTAAACCTTCAAATCACGAAGATTGATTAGTAGCAAAGCGCCGCCGTAAGAAAGAATGTTCTCGGGTCTTTGGCTTGTATGCTGTCAGTCCTAAAATTTTGTAAAGGCATGAATAAACAACCATACATCCCTAGTGCAGATGCCATATGCAAGTTTGTCCATCGAAGATACAATCAATCAAATGCATCACACTTCGGCGCAACGGCGATTAGTTGCAGTCATCTTGTTGCTATGGGTGATTTGTCCGCTGGTGGTGATGGCTGATTTTGATAGCTGGAATAGAAAGACTCGGGAATTTTCATGGATGCGGGTATAAAATAATCAAGGCAACGGCATCGTATGCCTGTCACTGTATCCACAGATCAATTAAACATGAAGGTTTTTGGTATTGCTTTATATACAGCAGCCCTCTTGGCAACAATTCAGGCGTTTCCAGGTTATCATCATCATGGGAACAAGCATCATGGGCATGGACACAAGGAGGAGGTGCATTATGAAGTGATCAATCCAGATGCGGTTAAACCAGAACCTCCTGTTGACCCAACAACCACCACTCAAGGAATAGGTCCCCCAGAAGATCTTACTTTAACGGATGAGACAGATGTTTGCGTTACCACCACCACTACCGCACCTACCCACACCGTTACTACCACTAAGACTGTCACTGACAAGACGACTATTACACATTCCGCCACTGTAACCAACACCGTATCGCACTGCACGGCGACTAGTCGTACCACTACAACCGTCACTACACCTACAACGACTACCGCCACCTCCACTATCACTACCTCTACGACGACGACCGTTCCAACTACCACCACCGCTACTACCACATCCGTTACGACAACGACCATTCCATTGACCACAACCACTGTGAAGACTACGACCACAGCAACTTCCACTACCACTAAGGATGTGTTCGTGACGGTCTATAGAACTAAAACGATCACTGACGAGGAAACTACAACCACAACCAATTATGTCACTGAAGAGGAAACTCAAACTGTGTTTGCAATTCCCCAAGAAAAGAAGTACAACAAGCATAAGGGTTATGACAAGAAGGGAGACTATGGCAAGAAAGGCCATGGCAAGAAGGGAAGCTATGGTGACAAGTGGTAGATACCTATTGTAATCAAGCGCTTTTGATTCATACTACATTTTGCTGTTCTCCTTTTGAACGATCATTTTTTGCTACGTTTTATTATAGTACTTAATGCTAATGAATTGAAAATGCTAAAATGGATGCTTGTTAATCAATGTCTACACAATTTACTTGCTGAAGCAAGTTGTCCCATGTATGTTTCTCCTCATCATCTCGTGATAGCGCGAGTATTTGGTAAATCCAAGCCTGAAGCCCTTGATTCCGCACCAAACTGCTTCCCACACGTGGAATAGTGAGCGCATGTTGCATGATCTGCATCAAAGACAACAATGAGTCAGCTGCTATAAACAAAAAAATAAAGTCACCTATGTACCTCAACGATCGTTTTCTTGGTAGGTTGATCCGCCATCACTGAAGAATAAAAAGACATGATCAAATCCCACACTCGTCGTCTAGTGAATATCTTGTAATCCTATAAACACAATTCATCAATATCCCTATATCACACCAAGATGAATGCATATAAAACAAACCTCGTATGTTCGCATGGATGACGCCAATACTTGTAAAAGCCATAAACGCTCTTTGCGATGTGTAGGTGTCGCCGAAGAGAAAACCCAATTGAACATTGGAACATACTATACAGCCATGTTAATGTGATATCATTCAAAGGTGGCTTGTCAACTTACATTGAGATCAAAGTTGGGATATTGCAGAATCAACCGAGAGATGTGAGGATACATGTAATGTGTAGGATCAAGAAGAATAAACACAGCATGTGCCACTGTCACCGTTACAGCGGCTGGTATCCGAGGAGGCTCATCTTGGTTGTGTCGACCTTCAATGGAATTTCTCAATGCATCCAACAAGTAAATCAGCTGTGCAACCTCAGTGATCTTGGAATGCTGTAATACATAACGTCAGCATTGAAATGGACCCTTAAATTACTTTAGGATATTTACCTGCAATAGGGCATAGAATTGATCCATCATTTGGAAGCCCAGCATACGCACTTGTACATCTTGACAAGAAAGTGATACGAGCACCATCCCAAGTGCCTTGCACTCCAAAAATCGTTTGCAATCAACAGCACCATTGCCGATCAAATTTCCAAATAAGGGCAAAAAGAATGCAGGATCATATACAGGCTTGTCATTTTGTGCGGGAGGCTCTGGTGCACCAAGGGTGATGTTCTCAGGAAGATGTGTCCACGTGTATTCCATCAAATCGGGATCAATCAAACCAAACGTTACCATGGAAATTGTGTCGGCTTGGAGTAAGGTTCCTGCTTGAGCATGTGCCTGGCGAGTCTTATCTGATCCAGGGCCCCAAAGAAGCATCTTGGGAAGAATGGTGCCATGTCCTCGAGCTTCACATGAACGTAGTATATCAAGAATCGTTCGATCAGGCCTTGATGTAGTAGCACCATAGCTTGTCAAAAGTGGATCAAGTAATCCATGTTGTGTTGCCAAGATATCAGGTTGCAAAACATGCAAAACATGGACCAATCGAATGATGGATCGTCGTTGCTCATTGTCGTTCTCAGGATTCGTCAATGTCTGGTATTGTTCATGATCTAATACACGGCGCATATACGTCTCAATTGGCTCACGCTTGTTGATCTATACAAGGCTATGTGAGTAACGAAAAGAAATGATGCCGATCTCCTTCAACTTACATTATGATACGCTTTGTCCACAAGAGTGGCGGTCAATCGAATAGCTGCCGCATCACCAATATTGTCAAGGATTGTGTTCAACACAAAATCACGTACGCACTCCCTATCGAGCATGGTCCAATCCACCTCCGTCAAATCCATAAATGTTGCAAGTCGATCATAAAACGCATCGTGAACATCAACGAGGTTGGGTTTGGCGATAATTCCAAGGAACTTCTCCAATGCCTTGATGGCATATGCACAACGATCGTCACCTTCATTCCCTTCGTATCCAATTTGTACCACGCCCACGAGTGTTGGTGATAATACAGACCAACTTTCTTGACTACTGATAGCCTCTTGGACAAGCTTGGCAACATCGATACCCGAAGAGCTGCAAGAATTCTGAATGACGTCCAAGGGGATGCGGCAATTACCGCCATTGAAGATATAGCGTAGTAATAAATCGTTACAACTGTCGAGAAGAATTGGAATGCCCTCGGGATGATTATCGACACAAGAATTGAGAAGTGATAGCATGCCTTGCTCAAGCACACTAGGGGACCAAACTCTCCAAAGCTTTGCGACTCGCTCAAAAGCTCTTTCTTCAAGCTGGGTGTTGCTCATCTTGCATACATCATCCATAAGAGAAACCAAGAGCTGGCATATATGGCTTTGCAGTTGCTTGTCGCTGATATCAAAACTATCGACCTTGATGAGATGACCCAATATTTCTTGAGGATGATCAAAAAGCTTCACGTGATCGACAACAACCCGAATGAACTAATAAGGTTTATAAGTATTTTGCAATTACAGCAAACGAGTAGCGTACCTCTGGATTAACATTTTCATATTGTTGTGTTTCCAAACATTCGATTTGATGAATAAGTCGAGATTCGAGCTCGTTCATGACTGGATGGTCGATAATCATCGCCTTCAGCTGACCTTGGTTATCACCTGCAAGCGCGAAAAAGTGGGTGACAAGCGTAAACGCCAATTGTAAAGGAGCAATCGTCGTATCCCCCTTGTCGACAAAGACCGAGAGCTTTTCAAGAATCAAGGATAAAGCATGTGCAAGACGTCTGACATCGAAATCTTGTACGGCAAACTTGAGTAGCTCGGTTGCCACTTGATTCGAATCGTAAAATTGCCAGATGTTGAAGAAAAGAATATCGAAAGGAATCGCCTTCATCAACCGGATCATAACACCACTATTGATACAAGTTAGGACAATTATTGGGGATAAAGTTGAAGATACTTACTGCTCATCCTGGTTTTCCAAAGAGTCAATAGCGTTGATGTCGGTATAATTGAAGACGCTGCCCGCCAGTGGATGGCGTTGAGAGATGTATTCCACGAGTGGCTCAAATGATTTCCATTGAAGTTCCTCCTCACAACATTGTGCCAAAGATTTCAAATGATGATCGGCGGCTGCCACTGGGAGCGATTGTAATAACTCAACCATACGTTGTCGTCGCTCAGTCAAATCACCATTGTCTAGGAAACAAAATGTAAGTTATGATCCCATTAGGTATTATCTAGGTATATGCATGTACCTGAGATAGCATTTTGTAAAAGGGCTTGGTCAAATGAGTCCTTAGCATCCGATAATGAAGATGCCGATGAAGCTGACAAACAGGCATATGCTTGCTGGACCATGTTGAAAGAATCCCATGCTGCCACAGAGGAAGGTGATACATCTGGAGCTTCATCGCTGCATTGTTGATAGAGCATATCGCACACCTCTTGTAAGTAGATTGGGATCTTTTGCTTGGCGATCAATTGGATAACAAGTGAAGTGACATACGCCATGATCGTCTTTTTGTTGCCTTTGAAAGTTTGCATGTGCTGAAGAACTGTCAACAAAATCGCGCTGAATGGATAAGATTCGGTATCAGCAGCTTGGACAAGGGCTTGCATCAAGTGGGATTGTTCATTGTGTTTGGATGCGGCTCGCTCCATCAATTGAGATAGCTGATCCATATAACGATATTGTGCGCCGTTGAAACGATCAATACATTCATCCAAAAATCGTAAAATAGTCGTTTGCTGATCTGTAAGTGTCTTTTCATCCACGTGATTCCGAGGTAAAGCTTCAATCCACATGCGTACTTCACTGGGATCGTGTCGAAACATGAATGAGTCTGCAAGTGTGCGATTGATCAATTTGCTGGTAAGCTGTTGGATATGCTTGTGAGGTGATTGAAGATACAAGGCGAGAAGCGTTGTGATGTGCGATAAGGATGTTTTTGCTATAATGGCAAACATGAGTATACTTCCTACTGAGTAATCACTATCCGAACATTACCTGCTTTGTTTGTCCACCTAAGATCAGGCACATTTGACAACATGTCGAGCAAATTGACCAGGGATTCAGGACGCATGGACAAGATGTCTGTAGGAATAAAGCTTGCTGGATCCACCATTGCTTCCATCATGGCTTCAGGAAGATATTGCTGATAAAAGCGTAAAAGGCGTAATGTGCTATCTTGCATCATCTCTTGCTGTGCTGTGATCTCGGCTTCATCGGCTCCATTATCAGCTCTGGATTGAATGGATTGATATACAGAGACCATGGTCAATACATCAGGGAGGCGTTTGCGGAATCCATCGCGTAGTTGTGAGAGACACTCGTGCCATTTGCTGATGCCATCGACGTTGGATGTGGAAATGACCTTTTCAATAGCACGCACGACATCATCGTACTTCAAAAAGCTTGCTGTGAGAAGAAGAATGGTTGCATAATTGACCAAGGGGCTTGCATTCTTCAAACCACGAGCCGATACCACGCGTCCAAAGGTGTTTGGAAGAATATTGTCGAGGATGGTGTTGACGGATGGTGGTGTTGCAGGGTATACATCACTGTCGCCATAATAGAGAGATGGTACAGGGAAACGAATCACTTTTTGAACCAATGTCATCCTAGCAAGCCATTTGCTGCTTAATCGAGGCTCAATGGATGTCGCAATGCTTTGGAAATATCTATATAATGTCATAGGAATTAGCACCCTATCGAATCCTCTAGCTGCTAAGAGCTTTTGATGCTTACCCTGGTACCAATTCTGGACATGCTGATAGAATCTTTAAAAGGAGCTTTTGCTGACGAATATCTTCTGCAGGTTTCAGCACTGCGATAAACCGAGATAAGGTCTTGTTGCGTATTTTGGATGAAGAACCCTGAGCCTCCTGTGTCTCTGTAGCAGATACAACCGGATACCATCCATAATCTTTGTAACAGATGCCTTCACCAGGAATAGTGCAAATGGATACAAGAAAGTCATGCGCAAGATCTGCTGGTATGCCTGTTTCATCCGCTCCAATCACTTCAGGTTCTCGTCGAGCATAAAGCTTCGCAATCTATGATACAAAAAGTAAATCTCAAGCCGATGACCCTCCTTTACAGCCATCTCTAAATACCTTTTCCAGAATCTGATGCGAGAAAAACAAGGTCTTATTGTAACGTGGCACATGCGTATCATCAATGAGATGCTGTTTGACTGTTGAGAAGATCTCTTGGATAAGCTAGATACAACGATGTTAGTATGATAGTACATAATCATTCACATCCATGCTAAAGTACCTGATAGGCGTCTTCATCAATCGAATTGAATACTGAATGCACGAAATTCTTGACGCTTAATATTTGTCGTTTGACGCCAGCATCCGCATGAATAAAGAAAGCAAGTACAAATCGCACGTATTGGGTTCGAAGATCTAAACGTAAGATGATTAGAGGATTGTAAGATAAGCATTGATTGCTGATTCATACCATAGAGATAGCGTTTTGGATTCTTGGTCTTGGTCTTTTGTCGATAACGAGCAGATCTCAGGAAGCCCTATATTGAAGACCATGGATATCAGCACTACATCAGTCATCGGTATTGTCTCTTTTCTTACCTCTGATTGAAAATTGAAGTTGTGGAATAAGGCACTAGCTGCTGATTGCCCTAAAGAGCACATAGCTTCCAAAAGCTTGAAGGTAGCCATGACTTGAGGAATGCGTCCCGATGCCAAACCGCGAGTGATATACTTCATCCGTGTGTCTATGATGTAAGGGCTAATGGGTTAAGGAGATTGATCACGTGAACTTGTAGTACGACATGCGAACAATTGACAACAAAAAGGATATAGTTTGCACCAATTCTAAACCGAAAGGACGAATGATGGGCGTTGTACAGAGCTTCAGGAATTGTGCAATCACTTCTGGAACCAAGCATTCGAGGTTTTGCAAGTTTTTCTACAAGGCGCGTTTAGCCTTTCATTGAACAAGGTGTTGTATCAACTACTCACGCTAGCTTGATAATCCCATAGATCCAATAGATCGCTGCCGTCTTGACATTGTTGTACGTATTCGACGAGCGATCGTGTTCGCTTTTCCATGGGGTCCACACGAATCTTGGTCGCTTCTTGCAATTGATCCTTCAGCGTGTTGAGTGCTACCCATGGGACACTGTTGTTAATGCTCACCATGCTCGATAACGGGTTGAAGAACAAGCGAGTTTACCTGGAGGCAACACGCCAGCATCACGCAAATGCAATGCCTTGCGAATCTCTTCTGGATCGGTATAGTATTGGTCGGGATCGCTCATGGAGAAGGTGACATTCAACTCAAAGCAGAGACAAGCGAAAAAAGTAGCTGGACGTCGGGATCTTAGTTTTCAAATGCCACGCTTCATCACAGAGGCTCATTCTATCATCATCCGTGTCCCTTTTTCTTCAAGGCACCATAATAAAGATGTGAATGAATCTTCTGGATCATTTAATGTGATGATAGAGATGTCTCATTGTCATTCTAAAACGAGATTGTCTTTATGTATAAACAATGAATGGACCCAAAACAACTCTTCATCGATGAGGCAGCAGGCAAACTTGTATTCAAGAACGTGAATGTTGAGGCTTCATAGATTAGGAATGGGTGTGCAATTATGAGTCGCTGATCCTTCTTGTTCTATCAATGGTACCACACTTGCCTATTTATGTACGTGTTCTTTGAGATTGGATCGATGGTGCCTATCATCCTACGTAGGTTACTAGTCATTATACATTACTTCTCTAATACATAAACGATGAGTCAAATACGCCATTCTTCTTTGCTAGAAAAAAGAGCCCTCAAACGAACGTATGGGTAGATGGGAGTGAACAAATGACCTTGATAGACAATATGGTATTGTTTTTCATCTGAAATGGAGCTTTTTGCGTAAAAGTGACCCCACAACGATGAAGAAAAAAGCGACATTCTTAGCACAAAGAAACCAGAGTTGGCTTTTTGTTAATTGCAATACCAAAACAAGATGCTATATTAGTCAATCGATAACTTGCTAGTATTCAACAGGCAATTTTATGTGAAAATGGGTGTGCATTGAATATACAAAGATGGGTCGCACTGACGACGATAATCAAGCGACAACGCGGGATTTCTAATTCACTTCTACTTCTCCTCGTACCCCGTTGCCACGGGAAGCAAGCTCGTGCGGCGCGATAACCAACTCATCAACCGATACGATGGATCTACTCAAGGAGTTCAAGGCGAGATCAGTCCCAAGCGCCTGCAAACTTTTGAATGACTATAGCAACAACCTCTTCTTGTCGCCTGGATCCCTCTCGATCGACCATGCGAAGACGTTGCATTCGGCACTACCCGCGATCCTGACGCAGATCTTTGGTGCACCGGCAACAAGGTAAAGTGTTGACGAGCATGTGTGGGAGTGTTGTGTGAGTGAAGGTCTCATGATAAAGTTACGTAGAGGATGGGTGCAAACCGAGATACCAACGGAGCATGATGCATCCATTGTACAGGTGTTGAAACCAGATGGCCCCTTTGTCCAAGGTCTGGTTTATTTAAGCAAGTTCCCAGAATATTCATACGATGTGGCAACCGAGAGCCTACCGGTGAGTGTGCGTGTGTGTGTGTTTTTGCGATGCAATGTCATTGTTAGCAGAGACTCATCCATACTTGCTATAGGATGATGTGCGCAAAGCATTAGCTGCCGGTGCCATTCAATATCTACCCCGTCTTTACACCAATTGCACTCATATGGAAAAACGTACATCTACCAGCGCCACGAATGATATACGAACAGCTGCAACACGACAATCCACCATCTTTCCACGATCATCTTCAGGCGAATATCAGATCCGATTCTCCACTATCCAATTTTATCTCTTTTACATCACCAGCGTTGCCACATGGGTGCCATTAATGCCATCTCCTCCACGACCTACTCCAGCGACTCAACCTCATTCCCTCGTCAATCGTATTCATCCACAGCACCCAACAACAACAACCCAACAAGAACCAATTCGTGTACGAAGCATCGTCAATGGTGCCTACAGTGATATCATCAATACATATTTACGCCATTTTATACCTTGCGTTACACGTGGATCAGGACAACAAGATTTTTTGCCCAGTATTGGAACATTCTTCCTCGATGCATGTATTGAATTATGGCTGAGAACACCATGGATCTCGAATGGACAAAAGCTATCTTCAGAGTATATGCATTGTATACGCCTTTTCATGACGTTTCTTGTCAGCGGTGATCTTAGACGACGACAACACGAGCCATTGTTCAAATCAGTATACGATGTTGCAAAGAATGAAATCTATATGCTTATTTCTCGATTGGCACTCAATTGGTCCAAGACGGATGGATATCTTCAAGTGATATCATTGTGGTCATTATGGGCAGCCCCTTGGCGACTTGGAGCTACGCCGCGTAGTTTTGAGAATGAAACGTTTCGACCTATAGCTGAAGGATGGCGTCAAGTGATCTTGGATAATCTCTTGTTTTACATACCTTTGGTGGAAATCTTTTTACAACGCACGTCGACATTCACATATCCCGAAGCAGCACCAGCACCAGCACCAGCCATGTCCATCAACCCTATGCCATTCAATCATCCACATGCTACTACAACAACTCCAACCCAAGCACAACAACAACAACAGCAACAACAAGATGATACCAAGATTGGTGGTCAATTGAGGATCATTTATCGCCTGATCAATGTATTGAAAGCAGAAGATTTGACACAATTTTTGGCACTCTCTGAACAAGCTCTTGTGAATATCCACACTCAACAAACCAATGCCAGTGCAATGAAATCGGAGAACAACAATGATGCTGGGGATACATTGGCCAATAAATACTTTGGTGATCAACGAGATGCCATGTGGGAGTGCTTGAAAAAGACGCGTGACGATCTCGTTCAGCTTGGTGGGGGTACATGGGCACCACCCCACTTGTATATAAAAGAAGCAAGGTCACGAGCAGAGCCATTGACGAAGACATTGGGTGCTATTCAGGATGCCATTCAATCACGACAAGAAGGACAATTACCATGGGCTGCTGCTGCCGCTGCTGTTGCTCATGTTCGCCAAACACCTGCACAACAAAAATCCAAGCAACAGGCAGCCGAGTTACAAAAGGCGGCGAATGCATTTGCAAATTGCTTTTCGGTAACACAAATATTTGGTTTGGAATTCATGCAACAACAAAGTCCCACTAATGTGAAATGCTTAATAATAGCTCTCCCAATCACAAGGGAAAACTCGAGCAGCAGCACCTGGTCAAGAAGGAACTCGATCCATATTTCCAACATTACAAAGACCCACCAAGCCTTCAATATCAGTGCGCAAGGATCCTGTTCAAGTAGCAGGTCTCAAATCGAATAATGGCTTCCTATCAGAGCAAGAACGAGAAATGATATTACAAGGGAAGATGCACTGTGCACATAGAAATATACCAGCATTGGGTCCACGTGCAGATGAAGTGGTGCGATCGTATGAATTAAGTGTGATGGTACGCTGGATCGTACCAGCCGATAGGTGGTTGAACAAGCATGTAAGTTTATTTGTTGTAGCTATATTATATCGACTATCTTACTCATATCATGTTTCTATAGTACTCCCGATGGAAACCAACCAGGCTGTCAATGCTTCCGGATAAACTTACATTAAGACCTCTGGCGGCGTCCATTAATGTAGCATATTTAGTGGTGTTTTTGTCCATATTGTGCATATTCATTAGCTGATAAACATTAGAATGCTAATACCATAACATAGGATGTTCATTTGAGAGGATAGGTGGACGATGATGTAATAGCCATTGGGCACCCAAAATCTAATGCTTGGACGTGAGGCATCCACATCATGCATGCAGTCTTCAACTCAGCACAACCAATCCTTCATTTTTAGTCGTCTGACAACCTTTATCCTTTCACTCATCCCTTTTCCATGGCAGACACAACTCAATTGGACAATCAAGAAACAACGGATGTTCGTGACTCATCGGTAAGCTTACTACACTAAAGAAGCTCCTACATTTAGCGTCCTTGAAAAGCAAAACATCTAAAGACAACAACCGATCATTGCTCGTTTATAGAATGTGCGTACGTGGAAGGAGCTCCACCAAGGCGAACAAAAGTTGACAGAATCACTTCGAAAGCAGCTTGACAGAGTATGTATTCATGCTATCTTTATCGTCTCTATTCAACCCTCTAACACTTGAACTAGGCACGCAAAGACAAGGCTGATATGGAAGCCGACCTGGAGTCGCGTGCAAAAGCGTTCCAAGCAGCCCTTGAACAACTACAATCTGGCTCGCCGTAAGTTTGCTATGGATGACATTGATCAAATGGTTGACACTTTTATGTTTAGTAACAAGATCACTCGATTGGATGCATTGTTGGAGATACAAGATATGGATGAGCTCAAGGCCCAAGTCAAGAAGCTGCACGAGACATGCCTTCAGCAAGAAGCTCGGATCAAGAAGCTCGAATTTGATTTGGAGATGGAACAAGGCCATGTCAACATCCTTCGCCATGATAATCAAATGTTACGCCAAATGACAGTGGATATGGTAAGAGCGAAAAGAATATGATACGATCTTTTCTCTAATACCCACCCTATTTCTTTAGACTGCTCTTGCTGAACAAGAAGAAGAATACATCTCAAACAAGCTCTTGAAACGCATCTCTGGTCTCAAAAAGGAGAAAGGCGAGTTATTAATGCAGGTGGAACAAGAAGAAGAATACTTGACAAATACATTGCAGAAGCGTCTCAATCAGGTAGGGTTTTCATCCCGCGGAACAAGGATAATTAGGACTCATCATCATCGTGAACCCCCTTTTTTACAGCTTCAAAAGGAAAAGATTGATCTCGAGAATGCCCTTGAACAAGAACAAGAATACATTGTCAACAAGCTTCAAAAGCAACTTGATTCTCTTCGAGCACAACAACCTATCAAGTCACCTTCATTGCGTAGCATACAAGATGCTCCTGTCAGCCCAGCAGCCACAGCTTCTCCTTCATTGAGGTATTTATATACCATCTTGTACATTTTGGGAATTACATAGAATTGCTCACCGATAATCATCATCTATAGTGCAAAGAAATGGCACCCGACTGGATCACCATCAGATGTAGCACCAGCTGGTTTGATCGAAGTGCTACGGGCCGAGAATGCGGCATTGAAAAGCAAAACGGCGGAAATGGAGAAAGAATGTATGTGCCACGAGAAGAAGGTGTGATGCTTAGTTTTATTGTTTACTAATATGGATACCTTTGTAGATATGAACAAGGTACAACAATGCAACAAGCATAAGAGTGAACTTGTTCAGCTTCGCAAACAACAAGACTTGGCTGTTGATGATCTTGTTATGGATGAAGGGTAAGTTTATCTTGTATGGTAGAGGAATCTTTTTGTTAACTTTGGCTTATTGTGGCATAGTATACCAGCTGTATTCCGCTCTGTGCCTCCATCGCCCAGTAGGCAAGTCCGAGTAAGATGTTCTTGACAAGGGGTGGGAAAAAGAGGGGGGTTAGAGAATATGATCGAAACTTACCTTTCATCCATCATCAGGGTCGAAGATCAGCATCGATATCGTCGCAACGATCAGTGGATAAAAGCAACATGAATTTGAACGCCATCCCACCTTTGCAACTTGATAATAGCTCATCAACATCTACCGCCACTTCAACGAATCATCACGATCATAGCACTGTTGGTCCTCAAGCTATTCCCGATAGTCATTCGGTATCTCGATCACGCTCAGGTAAAACGTCGAAGAAACAGAATTCCTTGGCGCCAAGGCTGATATGACGTTGTTACGATCATTCTTTCTAGAATCCACCAGCTCGACATCGGGTAGCCTTCCGAAGACAGCAGCCAAGCGTATATCCGGTGGTCTCTTTGGCCTTAGTTCTCCTCCTCCGCAGCACCCTCCTCACCCTTGAGTTACTGGTGTTTGATATACAACGCTCTAGCCACCCAATTTCTCTCTTTTTTATTGTTATAAACACAACCTTTGCAACAGCTGAAGAAGGATTTGATATGGATAATGGTTAAATGCATATTGTGATACGTAATGACGATGAGTGATGCTTCTTCTTTTATCCCCTGAATCCAATCCACTGGATCCTATTGACCCCAGTAGTAGTAACCCGTAACAATGCATTGGATAATTATCCGATATTCCGAGGTGCAAGTGATATAATCACCATCGTCCCGACAACGAATTCTCTAGAACCTCTCTCAGATACAGCTACCAACTTGATTACTTTTGCACATGGAAACATTACAAAGTGCTCGTGGCATCATCTCGTGGCGCTTCGATTAGTTACTTTTACTGGAAATTTTGCAACGGGATGCACACAATGTGAGCATGGCATCACCAGGTGCTTTATTTTCGGACCTGCATGAGAAAACCAAGTTCGCATAGAAACCGGATAACAGTGCAAATGCTTCCGAAGGTCGGTCGGTGTGGAAGGCTACATATGGAGTGGCAGCGAAAAAAAACGAGTCGGCGAATCTACCATAAATTGGCGCAGAGAGCCGAGCTTCCGAATTGTTGGGCCGACCTTGTAAAAGCTGCAAATCCACATGAAGGTATATGTACCTTTCATCATCAACATTTCTGGAATGTGCAAAGAACTGCTAATCGTATATTGGTGAATAATTGTTTTGTGTGGCGTGAGTATCAAAGGGATAATGAGGGATGGGGGGAAGGGTTGATGTAAGTAAACACAGCAACGAGCGGACACCAGACTCTAATTTACAGACAATCAAATTTACCAGCCACCATGATAAATACCATACATGACTCAAATTTGGCGGGATTGCATAGTGTCTATTCATAGCAGCATTCATTGGTCCGCCTACTAAACATGATGATAAATGATAATTAGTTTTGGGTGATGGAATTCAAAAAAGCCAAACGTAAAGGGATAAGGAATGCAAAAGTGAACTCAACAACGGGAAGAAGAATAGTGCTACTGAATCATTAGTTAAGCGGTTGGTTGAGAAGCGTGGGTGTTTGTGCACATTTTGCTACGAATGATATCATATCTGAAGCAGAGGATTGGAAATGCCACGTGTCGTTTGCCCGCCATTGGTCGGTGTTTGGAAGGAAGGTGGTTGATTAGATTGGCCAAATGCAAGTGGACGTGATATGTTGTACAAAAGGGCCGCCCTAATAAAGCCGGGGCACGAATGAAATGAGTGTATGACAATATCGCCACGTGTGGGATCGGCGGCGTTTATTCCTACGGGTTGGTCATTCTTTGCTCACTTGCCACTAAGCCTCTCCCTCACAGAGTATATATAAGGCCCAATTTGCCATCTTCAATATCCTCATTCATTCACTACTTTTTTAATTGCCACCTCCTCTTACGCTTTTGCATACGCTATATCCCTAAGTAACCTATCATGTCTGACGGAAGATGCATCCATTGCGGCCAAAAGGGTCACTACTCCATGTAAGTACCTTTAATGCAATCACGTGTGTGCGAAGCATTGTGTTCCTAACCTATCATCATCATTTAGGATGTGCCCAAAGAAGCCTAATTCTGCTTGTTAACGCGCTGAATCGCGTGAACGTCCTCTTAAATACGTGTCAATGAATGACAGAAATACATCCATGCACGAAAACGAATGACGACGATAACGACAACATGAACAAACGCCGTGACAATCCATCTATTACATCTTTCCATCACACCGAATTTCATCAACCATAGACGAGCCTTCAACAAGCTCACCATCATTTACCATGGCAGGCCGGCCAACATCATCTCATATGTACAATATTATGCTCATCCTCTCTCTCTCTTTTTATGTAATTCTCTCCACAAACACATTTACCCTATACATAATACTACTACTTTTGTGTCATCATATGTAAAAAAAACTTCACTAGAAAGCATCCAGCATCCAATCCTATTAAACTTTACTCTAATTCTCCCATATTTTTGATGAGCATGTGGTAATGGTAATTGGTTTGAGAACTGCTATGTCTGTACTGCATTGTAATTTCTTCAAGGAATGTTCTCTTGTCGGGTGAAGGATGAAAACCCGCTTTACGTCATTGGTTTGTTTGGTCGCTTACAGCCACGTTGCACCTTTTCCGGATCCCGTTAAACGTGCCACAGCCCAATGTCGGTGTGTATCCAAAAAGCAAAAAGAAAAAAAAAATCGGTGGGACACAAGCGCAGCTCCGAAAAACAAGCCGTGAGATCCGAGACAAAGAAAAGTAGCGCATAGCGTACATGTTGCTTTTCGTGCCTTGTGCCTGAAAATCCTGACAAGGTAGGGCTTGAGATTGAGAAACATCTAGTTGAAACATTAGCGGGCGTGTTATTGCAAGGTAGCATTGGTTAAGGTGAGAAGCGGAACATCATCAAGAACCAATGGTGTGGATTTGTAGGCTATTGCTTATTGACCCCTCTTTTTTGCTGCTTGCTGCGTTTTGCATTGGGTGGTCGATCATGATAAACATCATGCATAAAGAGCATCCTTTCAATCCCGCTTTCGGATTATTGCCTTACATTGGCCAACAATGAAAAAGAGGTCCCCTTTTTCTTTATCCTTCATGATTGTCATCGTTGATCATAATGAACATGACGCTGTGCACTTTCATAAACCGGCACAATGGCCGCAAACTCTGCTTGCTCTAGCCAGCCTCCTTTTGTGCTACCCAACAACATTACACCTAGCTCACGTGTGCTAAAAACAGTAAACAACCCATTGGGTGACATCTTATGCAAAACCATGTTCTTGATATCCTCTCTTTTACAAGTCTCTCTCTCTGTGCACCTTGAGCATGTGCTCTATGCCATGGAGCTTAATCGATTTACACCTTCCTAGTAAGTCCATAGATCCATGCGATACATGTACGTAGGGCAGCACCCGATCCTCGTATACTCTACATGTCTCTTGATCCCGTTCTTTTTTTCGCTTGTGACATGGAAAATAAAAGTTTTGTAGTAGGGAGTGGGTCACGGGCCATTCACCTTTTAGCGCCAAATGGCTCGTTTTGGCATACGTCCTCATTCACGTTATGCGTGAACATGATACACCACGGGAGATACTTCCGAGATCGATAGTGTTCTATTTTACACGCGCAGCATGCTTGTATAGCTTGATCATTGCTATATCTATTATCGTATAAAGTTAGTGTATGGGTAACGAGTTTTGTCAACCGCGTTTCTGGATTGATGGTGGTATACCATAGAAATCAAATCCAACATAAAATTAGCCAATGAATCTTGTTTGCGAAGCGTAAGCAAGGTTGCATTCAATTATACAGCATCTTTCAACGGGTATAAGTGTCAATGCAATACAAGTTATAGTTGCATGAGTTGTAGCGGAAGAAACGATAGAAGGATACACAATGTGCTGTGTCGCCCCCCTCATCACACATACCAAGGGTCCCTGGATCACAAAGACTCCCAGAAATTGGATATCGGGTTACACACCCTTAATTGGCGAGTTGCTGCATGGGGCAATGTACTTAGATGGGCCACTCTTATTATAAGATCGATCGCATCCCGGCAAAAAAATCCGCTACTATTGCTCCTCTCTTCTCCAACTTTTTGCCTATGTACATTTCTTCTCGTTAATGACAGTGTAACAATGAAGAAACTTTATTGGGCTCGGGCCATGTCGCAACCCATCAATGAGCACCCAGCATACACACCCCATAGCACACATGACCGTGTTTTTACCATTATTGGGTGCGTTAGCCTGATCGGTTTGTGCTCTCCACGGTAAAAGAAACCAATAAGGTAAGGGATAATAATGTAAGCCTTGATTCCAAGGTAACACAAACACTTGACATGGATCGCGTTCTCACTCTCCACCATTCTCTTGCCTTAACCGTAACAAACGGCCTCCTCATCTTCGCACTTTTGAATACTCTATCATTGGTATTTGCTAGTCAACATCCTCATTTGCCACGAGAGCAGCTGGTTTGAGACGCGTAGTATGTGTGTGGTATAGCAATGGTTTACCATGGTGGTAGGTGCGTCAACAACGATAACCACATGCCATTGATAGCTTTCGATCTCATCAAAACAAAAGGTGCCATTAAGAGTTTTGGCTATTCGAGTGTGTGTTAAGCTTGCGAACAGATCAACAAGGTACATGGTGAAGTATGCTGGTATAAGAAATCAAGGTCCCTTGTTGTATGCCTCTTACTGTAAAGTATGCATGAATGATGTATACCAAAAAATCACGTGTACCATTGCGGTACCTGAAAAGTTAATAGTGCAGCAGCATACGAACCTCGGTATTGGGTCATTCAATCTTCATTTCAATGCTTCTTTAATATAATCTACCCCTTTTTACTATACTTTGGATTCGCATCCATGCCATGCCATACAAATGCAATCATAATCCACTTGCAACGAATGTTAATTGTGAAAATCAGATATATTTATAGATGTATTATCAACTTTTACAATTCATCATGCTCGTGAGCTGTATCATCATCATCATAATAGTTGTCAGAGCTACCGCTATCAGCACCAGCACCGTACAATTTGGAAGTGATGGGGTTGACAACAGACTCGAGTTCTTCACGTTGCTCATCAAAGTCCTCCTTGGCAGCCGATTGGTTATCATCAAGCCAGTCGAGCTTCTCACGGATGGCATCCTCAATGGCGTCACGGTCATCATCAGCGATCTTGCTGAATGCACCAGAGTCATCACTCAATTGGCCCTTCAAAGTATAAATGTAGTTCTCGAGTTGATTCTTAGACTCGGTGCGTTCACGGACTTGACGATCCTCCTCAGCGAATTCCTCAGCCTCCTGAACCATGCGATCAATTTCATCTTGAGAAAGACGACCCTTGTCATTGTTGATGGTGATGGATTCAATCTTGCCAGATGCCTTATCAGCAGCGCCGACCTTCAAGATACCATTTGCATCGACTTCAAAAGTGACTTCGATTTGGGGAACACCACGAGGAGCAGGTGCAATGCCGGTCAATTCGAATTTACCCAAAAGGTTGTTGTCCTTGGTCATGGCACGTTCACCTTCATAGACTTGGATAAGCACAGTGGGTTGGTTATCGGCAGCAGTGGAGAAAATTTGGCTCTTCTTGGTGGGGATGACAGTGTTACGGGGGATCAACTTGGAGAAAACACCTCCGCTGGTCTATATTCAAGGTGATTAATACAAAGAAAGGATACCTCCAACGATGGCAATCTTACCTCGATACCCAAAGTCAATGGGTTGACATCCAAAAGAAGCACCTTATCAGAACCTTCCTCACCCGAAAGAATACCACCTTGGACAGCGGCACCATAAGCAACAGCTTCATCAGGGTTGATACCCTTGGAAGGCTTCTTTCCATTAAAGTAATCTTCGAGAAGCTTCTGGACCTTTGGAATACGAGTGGAACCACCAACGAGGACAATGTCATCAACTTGATCCTTGGTGACACCAGCATCCTTGAGGACACGTTCAACAGGCTTGAGAGTCTTGCGGAAAAGATCATTGTTGAGCTCTTCAAACTTGGCACGAGTGAGGGTCTCACTGAAATCCTTGCCCTTGTGGAAAGATTCGACTTCGATGCGAACGGACATTTGGGAGGACAAGGCACGCTTGGCCTTTTCAACTTCACGCTTGAGCTTGCCCATAGTCTTCAAATCCTTGGTAATGTCCTCACCATGCTTCTTCTTCCACACCTTGACAAAGTGATCCATGACACGGCTATCAAAGTCCTCACCACCAAGATGGGTATCACCAGCAGTAGACAACACTTCAAAGATGCCATCATCAATGGAGAGCAAAGAGACATCAAAGGTACCACCACCCAAATCATAAACGAGGACGGTCTTTTCACCACCAGTCTTGTCAAGGCCATAGGCGATAGCAGCAGCAGTGGGTTCGTTGATGATACGCAAGATGTTGAGACCAGCAATAGTACCAGCATCCTTGGTAGCTTGACGTTGAGCATCGTTGAAGTATGCAGGAACGGTGACAACGGCATGGGTCACGGTCTTGCCCAAGTATGCCTCAGCAGTCTCCTTCATCTTTTGCAACACCATACCAGAGATCTCCTCAGGGGTGAACGTCTTGTCCTCATTCTTGACCTCGACCTTGATGTTGGGAGCGCCTCCCTTGTTCACCAAACGGAAGGGGAAATGCTTCATGTCACCTTGGACATCCTTGTCATTGTAACGACGACCAATCAAACGCTTGGCATCGAAGACGGTACGAGTTGGGTTGGCGGCGTATTGGTTCTTGGCGGCATCACCAATCAAACGCTCATCATCTGTAAAGGCGACATACGAGGGAGTGATACGGTGACCTTGGTCGTTGGCGATAATTTCAACGCGTCCATTCTTTTGTACACCAACACAAGAATAAGTTGTGCCCAAATCGATACCAATAACTACAATAAACCCATTTTAATCATCAATGTTGCTTTAAACAACCATTGCCATCCACATGGATCCCTTTTTTCCCCCATTCTTTACTTACCAGTTCCATATGCTTCTTTGTCATCTGCGGCCGATGCTGTCTGAATGCCCATGAACAAGGCACACATGACTGCAAAGAGGGCCAACATTAATGTGGCCTTACGCTGTCGCTGCATTGTGTGTATGTGTTGTGTGTGTGTGGAAAGGGAAGAGGGAGATGTCTTGTGCTTGATATCGCGCCGACTCAGTTTATAAATCACGAAATTCGTGGAGCATCAGCCATGTAGCGTACAATGATTGGATAGCGGCATTTGAATGCATAGTCTTTTTTGACAGGTATCTGAGAAACGATAGACGTGGCACATTGTCCATTGAGATGTTGCAGGTTTATTGGGTCATTGATACGTGGCACGTCATAAGGAGAATCAAGGGGGAGGGAAAATAGATATGGCCATCCATTGGCACATTGGCTTAAAGAGAATGTATATATTGCAGGGCATAAATGAAAAAAAGAGATATCCATACTAAAAAAGAAATCATAAAAGGGCATGATGGTGATTTTGCTTTTTGGTCTTTTCATATTGGGCTTGTGGGTGGTGTATCTTGGGGCGGTGTATTTGATGACGAGGTAACCGATGACCATAGACGGCCATAGAAACTTGATCTTTTATTGCCACCACCAGTCGTCGTTGTCGTTGCCGTGGTCGTTCTATGCTGTGCTAGAGCCACCGGGTCTAAACTTCTGCGATTGGTACTTTTGATGTTGTTGTGGCGAGTTACAGTGGCTCCACACGTCTCCAATTCGGCGATCTTTAATTTTGCTTCCGCTAGTAAACCTTCTAATTCTCGGCACCGCTCATCAGCAATGCTTTGGTCTAGTCGCCGCTCATATTCGTGTGTCTTTTCCTCGTGTTGTTGTTTCATGTCATTCATCCTAATTTCCATATTCACTATCTTTTCGACAAGCTGGTTCTGTGCATCCTTGGCCATTTGTTTTTCATGTCGCAACTCTTCATTTTGTTGCTGTAACTCAAAATGGGCCGCTTTGAGTTTGGCAAGTTCCACGCGAGGATCACCTTCCATATCCATCACTGTCATTCGTAGTGCATCCCGCTCAGCCTCAATATCCATCTTATCCATTCGCACTTGTACAAGCTCTTGCTTGACTTGTAAATGCTCACTTTGGGTTTGAGATAATGTCAATAGGAGCTCCTCAATTTGCTGGTGTAGTGCAGCTGTGTCTTCATGTGTTGGTAGGTGGTGCTGTTGTTGCTCCACTTGCTGAGCTGGTTGTGGTGTAATGGGTGACGCATAGTTACTGCTCGTAGATGAACCAGAGGATGTAGAAGATGCACGTTGCTTGGTTAAGCTTTTCTTTTTCTTACTAGATGAACGCGACCAAAAGTTAAAGCGAATGGCAAGCACCTGATCAGCTTGTTTTTTGTCGTTTTCGAGCTCTCGCATATATTCTTGTGCAAGGTGATCCATCTTTTCACGTGTAATTTGACCGCTGAGTTGCATGGCATCATTGATCATTTGACTGGCATCGTTGCCTTGATGCAATTTGGTAGTAACGTGGTCTAGGATATCCTCAAATTCGGTCAGCTGCATGATGGCCTCCTCTGATCGCTGTAATATAGCAATGGCAACACGCATTATAGTCTCAGCTGCACCTTCTGCAAACACAACGTCGTAGATGCGTAACACCAATGGTATTGGAAATGCATATGCAAAAAGCGTCAAGAACCATTGGGATGCATACATGGGTGGATGCACACCGTGATATGCCAAATGCTCTGATAATTCGGGTAACATTTGTGACAGCAAGGAAGAAAATTGGTATAGTCGCAATTGAAGTCCTTCCATGTTAAGTGTAAACATGGTACGCATTTCGTATGTTTCCATTAGTCGTACAAAGACACAGAATGCTTGCTGCTCTGGCATCTATTGTAAGGTTACAAGCCTATGTAAGATATGAAAGTGCAATGCTACGTGCATGGATTTATACTTACATTCATAAGTAAGGGGCCAACGAGAAATGCTAAGCCTTGGCAATAGCCAACATGAGCATCATACAAGCTGTATGCCTTAAGTACACGTTCCAGAGCCTGTTGACCATCACCACCTTCTTGCTTAAACATGTCAATGGTAGGGAATGTGCGTGCTAGATCACGTTGAATCACTCGTTCATATGGCGTATGCTCGGCAACCAATTGGCCATACACGGTCTCTAAATGCAAACTCGATGCTTGAGACATGGCTTGCCAAATCACACCACGTAGTTTGTCGGGAATGCCTGCTTTGAGCTTGGCTGATAAGAGATGTGGAAGCTTGGTCGCTACAGCCCCAAAGTCATCTGTCAATGCTGTCCAGAATTCCCAATCGATGTTATCCTCGCTAGAGTCATTTACTAATTGATGCATCGTTGACAATTGTGCCTTGAGCTCGTTTGATTGAATGCACACAGACTTTGGATCCTCGTCGAGAATAACGTTTTGCCTTTCGATTTGTGCAAGGATAAAGCTAATCGAATCCTAATTACAAGCATAAAATAAGTACATCGATTGTAACTCAAAATTCATGCATGAGTTGATGTCTCATGTATGCATGCGACGGCATGTGTGTATACCTGAGGTGGCAAGTTGGCATTTTCCTTTTCAAGGCGAGGCAACAAGTGAACATCTGATGCTGTTTTCTTTAGGCAGCTTGTGCTACGGTGTCGAATCAATGTCATACTTGGTGTCCTAGCAGGAAATGGTCGTAAGACAACGAAGCTGCGTTGTCGATGCAGTGGTCGTGGGGTGCTCCTTGAAGTTGAAACCAAGTTAATTGCTGCTATTGGTGATGGTGGTTGGCTATGTAAAAGATGATCCTTTTCATTCGTACCAACGCCATCCCAACACTGCTTTGCAACGATGCCTTCTCGATTTTCCATGGCATGGACAAGCCTGGATGGCGAGCAAGGTGGTGAAGGAACATCGTTGGGTAGCATAACAATTGGATGAGGCGTGAAGTGTATTGATCGGTCGATCAAAAAAGTAAAAGCGAAGAAAAAAGAAAAAGGGAAAAAGAGCACAGGCGGGCACAAAGGCGTACTGTATATATAATGTGGGGGGAGGGATCAAGCAATATCCGTATCCCAAAAATTTATAAGGTGGCATATATGCCATATCCTTTTGTATACGCAACAAACCTGTTGTGCAACAGCAATACTCGATACCTGCTAAGCGACCGAGAGATATGGCAGAAAAAACTAGATAAGAGTTGCACGAGTGGTCGCATGGCAACTTGTGTAGCCATGCTGTCAATTTGCTGCTTGCCCTACAAATTGCATACAGTATATCGAATGTAGAATGATGCATTGCCACCATCTTGTCAAATGGTATATAATGGCCCCATACCTCTGCTAGACATCATTGTAAAACGTTGCGTGTGCACTTGTAAAACTTGGGTGCTGCTAAAAGTCAACTTTATGCCAATCCAACCTGGGCTATGATTGGATGATACCGATATGGTCCAAACAGCAGCCATTGTGAACGCAACCTGTTGATCCATTGTGAGCTGTGAGGGTTGCAAGCTGCTAATAATAACAACATCATTATTATTGTAATAGGATGCTAAACGTTCTAAAATGAGAGAGTAAATGGACAACCACGCCCTTTCCACAAGAAAAAGGAGGTGACATCTGATTATTATAGGAGTCAACAGCTGAAGAGCGCGCTGATATCAAGCTTAGCACCTGAAAGTTGTGGCGAATTGTCAGTCAGATGGCAATAAGCGATTGGGCACATAGCACCAGCGATAACGTCGTTGTTGCTCAAAATAGGAGAGATGATGGTGATGCGGGCGTTTATAGGTAATCGTTAGCCAATGATTTACGCCGATCTTAGAGCAAACACTCATCACCAAACGATGCTGGCTGATAGCTTTGGAGATGTCCAAAGACGAATAATATGGATGACCATCACACGTTGTCTTTGTAGATACCATGTTGATGATAATGGAATGCATTGTTTGTCTGTCAACTGCCCTGTAAGGGGGAGGATGTTCCCCTTTAAGGGGTCCATTTTATCGATTACAGTGCCCCATTTTTATTTATCATCAAGACCAGGGCAAGAAATTATGGCGGCTATGCCCGCCAAATATATGGAGAAACTTTAAAGTGCACTCCTTTTATATGATCATCCGATATGCAGCATTTGCTACGGATGTGCATATATAGTTGGAGACGAAGTGCAACCGCTTGTGCCGTATATAAATCCGTTTCCGTGTATGTACTAGTGACCAGCATCCTATCAGCATTGATTTCATGCTTGTTGTTATACGAGATTGCATGTACATGTGACCATTTCAAACATGAAAGCCAAAGCAATGGTGCAGCGGCTGTGCCTGTGTGAAAGCAAAATGTCCCCTGCATATTTGTTTTTGACCAACAGACACTTTCATTGTGAAAGCCATGTACAAACTTTGCCCGTGCATTGGTTGTGCTCGATGATGATAGCTTGGATGACAAGGCCTGACGATAGCTATAGCATTTAGACATAATGCTGCTATGCTGGATTATCGGCTAATCTCGTTCCTCGTACTCTAGGTATGAGCTGCACACACCAACTATCCCTATTGCTGATTCTGATAGTGATCTTTGATGGAAAATACTGTAAAGCTAATCCAAGAGCATTGGGTAATGCATACCCTTTTGATAAGCAAAGTAGATATGAAAATGTGCGTGTTCGAAAGGTCATGATTGCTTGCTTAGATCGGCTCTTCATTTCATAATACTATGGCTGTATTGGGGACATAATCCTTATACCAACAAAGGCGAGTTGCTCGCTTCGCTCGTAAACTCATGATTAAAACAGCTTCCTCCTATTTGCAGTTGTTCCCAATCCACTGCATATGAACGATCCTCCTACTCTAGCCCATCATTTCCATCCTTCAATTGCCTTGAGCCGAGAGGCTTTGGATGACCTACGCTGGAACAGGGGGCATGCCAATGAACTGTATACCCTACTTGTGTTCTCTCGCTTCCATTCAAAATTTTCATAATGAGCCCTGGCGTCTTTATGAGAACGATATTGCTCGGCATGATCGAAAGGATCTTGTGTGTGGAAGTTTCAGGTTCGAGATGGGGAATCCCAAGATAACACATACATTTCCATAAATCATGAATCCGACGCTGACCTCCACTCCTTCCACTCCCGCAACTTCTTCTCTCTTCCTCCCATTCTCAACTGTTGCCCCATTCAAGTATACAACTACCACTTGCGAACGATTGTCCTGTTTCAACCCACCATGTCAACCCTACAACTGCCTTGATCCGAAAGCCTTCGACTGAATGGCAAGTTCCATGGCATGTACACTCCACACAACAACACCCGCGTCTTTTGACACTACTACACAATGTCTTGCGCACTCCTCTTGCCACAACCAATCGTAACAGCGTTCATTCCAGCAGTTGCTATTAGCAAGGTCTTTACGCCATTGTCTCAAACAGCATCACAGATCTTGCCACTCTACTACAACACACGCTTCTCTTCCACGACTAAACGCACCAGCAGCTGCTATTCGCAAGGGTCTCAAGCAGCATTCTTGCAGCAACTTGCCTTGCAGCCTTTTTCACGTGAACAGCAGATAGCCATTGTATAGAGGCAACTTTTTTACGTGTAGCAACTTGCTTTAATACAAACGGATCCCTATGGGTGATGCCATACCAGCTATCAAATACACACCGCAGTACAAGCGATCTTCATCTGGTTGAGCTGCTATAGAGAATGATCGAAGAAGTCATTGACCGACAGCCGATGGAAAAGAAAGCATATCATTAGCAGCCGTCACATACTCTTTTCAACCAACATGTTTGATTTGCATTGGTTATGGATGGATGGGTACAATCAAGTGCAGTGATGAAATGGGAATGATACTGTGATTACTTGGGACGTCGTCAGCAGGAAGGAAGGATCATGTCACGTGCACAAGGCTGGGGAAAATGATGGATTGGGATGGCATTGGCGAGAGGGCTTGTATCTTAGCCATGGGTGATACTCGGATACTTAGAGTCAATGTACGCAGCAGCTATTTTGCAATCATGGATGAAGATGTTTATGGCGGCAGTAACCAAGAATACAATGTCACAATGACACCGGTTGGCTCGATGATTCACCCAAACCCCTTCATCTGACAAATGTTATCTACGTAGTAGCATACTCATCTCTGCATTTACGGTTAAATACAATAAATATCCTTTCGTATATTGAACAACTTTTGCTATTTGTATTTAGAATGTTCCTAGTTTTATGCAAACTTAGGTGGCGCATCATCATAATGTCATCAAGGCCAATTGATTGATACGTACATGTGTGCCTTGGATGGCAGTCATGACTACGGCGACTATGATGGATGAAGACGACCATGACAAGGTGGCAAGAAGCATCATTCTTCGGATACTTGCTATTATCTATGTAGTGCTTATTCCCTTCTTATTGTTGCTTGTGGATCATAGCTTAGACGATGGGATAATAAAAGTGGCTCTGAGACCGGTCTTGTAATAAGGATAAGCACACCATCGTTCATTTGGATCAAGCGCAACGATGATGCATCTCGCAAAGGCTATGTACTACAGCAACTTAATGATTAATGTGGGCTGCTGTTCCACTACATGATTTCAACAGCATTGTGTCTTAGTTGCGGGATAAAAATTAGAGACTTGGTTACATATAAAACAATGCATGGAATGAAACTTGGTAATGATGGCATCGATACCACGACAACGTGGATAGATAAGATGAGCACACCATAATAGCACCACTAGGATCATGGGTTATCATTTTCAATTACATACAAGATCAATCAAATGCTACTTGATAGTGCGTTATCAAACATGCAAAGACAAGAATAGATGTTTAATCAAAGAACATGGTTTATTGATTACAATACTAGAATAAACAAGTAGCTGTTGGTTTCCTAAAGCCAAGGCTAAAGTACTCACAGGGATGACCAACGTGAAGGTCGCTACTCAACCATCCCCAACCTCTACCTGTAGGCACCAATTCCAGGTCGACGAGGCGCTTGTAACCACTTTAAGGTGCCGGGACTTGACGCGCCAAAACCTCGTTTGGAAGAAACCATGCTTGTGTCTTTGAGATAGAAAGTGTAGCATGTTTTTGGTGAGCGAGAGCAAATAGGTGTAAGAATACTTATCTTCCCTCCTAGTTTCCTTCCAATGAATCCTTTGGCATTACCCAAACAAGAGCCACTTGTTGGTATCTTTGGATAGCGGTCTTTTATTAGTGCACCCTGGACACTGCTACCGGTCTGCATTTCGTCCTCGGCCAAACGCCCATACAACACGCCGACACGTAGTGGGCAGCCAGTTTACGAGGAATGGCCAACATCCTCGCTACCTCCTTATCAAGATCTGCTGGGATTCATGGAAGCCTTGTGTGGAAACCGGGCTGGTGAGGGGGCAAAGAGTTTCCAATGCACACCATTAGGTCCCCCAAGTCGCTGCAAACAAGGCATGTGAGTATTACAAGCAACACAACGAAAAGATAGAAACAACTTACTTTGGCCAAAACATCGTGGTAGTAGGAAAAGCACGCACGCCATGCAAGTCGATCGATTGAGTTGGGAGGAAAAAGGTGGAGGTTGCCAAGTGGTCCGCAGCAATTTGTCTCTGGTCGCGACGCAGCTGAACTTAAAATTGAGGCGTCTCCATGGACACCCCCATACCTCATAATGGCTAAGGCGCCAGGCTTTGATTTTCGCGGCTTTGAGTCGGGAGCTTCCACACAATACCACTTACCCCAAAGTCATTACGTATTATCTTGTATGTTATTATGGATATAGTTCCAGTAAAAGTATAGGGTATTCAGGAATAAAAGCATCGTTAATATACATCATCATCGTGTACTGCTGGTATTGTTGTTGATCCAGCATTATGTATGTGACTCTCGAATAGCAATACCCATCCAACGAATGCATCATGAATAAAGA